ACTTTGACAAGATGACACCTGCTCAGTAACAGTCTTGGATGCCATTTGGAACCCCGTATGATTACTTCTCTATCATGCATTTCTATCCTTACGCATTCACAAAAAACAAAGAGCCAACTATCACGCCTAAGAACAAGAAGGTGAGCATTACTCTCCAAATAAAGTCTTTGACCGTGATCTGAATCCTCACGATCACATTTTACAGATTTTTGAACTTGAACGATCGGGATAAATCTCAATTAAGATGGAGTGTCCGGGCGCTAAAAGCACGCAAGCTCCCCTCCCTCCCTCCTGAGAAAATTGTGAAATATTGCTGCCCTGAAACGCCATTCTATTGTTCTAAGACGACCGCAATTTCTGTAGGAAACATTCCGATAAATTGACCGTCATTTTTCTGCTTGTTTTCCATATACCTGAAGAAACAAGAACGGAATAATGGGCAAACTCGTGACTTGTTTTACAGGAGAACACGCCTCTCCAGGGAAACTAAGTTTCACGCCAGGGCATTTAAAAAAAAAAAAAGACCAGCTGGGATTTCCTACAAAAACATCAGGCCGACAGGGAGGGCAAAATACCCGTCATGTCGGGTTTCACCAGCTCTGTTGCAGAGGAGTGCTCTAAACCTTCTTTTTATCTGACAGAGTCATTAGCTGTTCAGACAAGTGGACATGGTAATGTAATTCCCTTGCATAAATGCCAAAAAACTTTCAGAGGATGGTTTATTTGAGTACGTATACATGTGTTACAGGTCTCCCTTCGTTACATTGGACAAAGAGATTTCATTAGCTACCTTGATCTACAGCAAGTGAACTTGATGTACAATTGTCCTGGGAGTGAGTCAATTACTGACAGCTGATAAATTATGTACAGCTAAATGTTTTTTGCCTACCTGTTTTTTTGTTTGTTTGTTTGTTTGCTTTTTCATAAAAGACAGTAGCATCTGACGTATTTGCTTGGTACCACACCAGATCCATGTTTTCTTGGCATCTTCTCTGGCGTATTAGATTACTTAAAAGATTTTTCTTATGCATAGTTTGTCAATGCAATTGCAATCATTTCACATTTTACCACTTTATTTTTGAATTTGTTCTAAGTTATGTTTTCAATGGCCTTAAGAACAAACGAATGAGTGGACATATGAAAGGGAGGGATGGAAGACCTGGAATGAATAAAAGCAGAGAGGAGTAAAGTTAAATACCATTCTTTTTTCTCTTGTCCATCTCATTTTAAATTTTTAGATGTGGTTGGCTACTTTTACAACATTTGTGAAAATAAAAGCCGACCAATCACGTGCTACGGTGGACGAAAAATCAAAATAACATACGCCAACTATGGCAGAAGGTATTCATCCAAATGTGGATTTAGCTTCAGTACCAGCTGCGTAAGCTCTACGTCTCTTGACAAGGTGAGCATTTTAACCAGTCCTCTTAAAAAGAAAAAGGACTAAGCAGTGCTCTCTCTAGTAGGTTCTCTTGTAACGGATAAGTAATTATCAGTTAGCTCGGACGATCACACCAGAAGCGCGCTCTGTATGTTGGCAATGCAGTATAGTAGGAGTGGAAACATTAACAGCTCATGGAGATGTCACAAAATAATGTTCTTTGACTAGAACGTGAAGTCAACCTCTACCTTAAGGATAGAACTCTCTCAGCAAGAAGGGCGGATTTCTCTGAGTGTTTGCTAAATTCTATACGTACATACGTGGGCAGGTTTGGTGTTTGGGGAACCTACAGCTAATCAAGTATCGTTTAAATTGGATTTAAATACGACAGCAGTCTGTTTTGTTCTTATTCCTCCCTCCCCTCCCGTTCCTTCTTTCCTCTTTCTTCCTCTTTCTTTCTTCCCTCCCTCGCTAATTCCTTCCTTCCTTGGCCTCCACCTCCATCCCTCCCACCCTACCACACTCCCTTCATTCATCCGTCCCCTAATTTCTACGTTCTTTCGCTCCTCTCCTTCCTTCCTTTCTTCCTTCCTCCCTACTTTCCTCACTTTTCTTGACTTCTCCCGTTCCTGTAGCTCTCCTCCTCTCCTTCCTTTCGCAATAAGATAAGGTTTGTTTGTTCGCTTGGCAAGAAAACTGAAGGCCATGTTTCTCTTGTTATGCTGTTGACGTCACGTATATCACTAAACCGGCTGGATGTATATTTACGGGTAACATTTCTCTTGACAGGTCAGCAAGACATGTAACGGTCGCTCATCCTGCCTGCTTGAAGCCATCCAACAACGAATTCGGTGACCCATGTCGTTTCACCCGCAAGTAGCTTGCCGTCCGATACGAGTGTCACCCTCAAAAGATGTGAAAACGGACATTATTTCAGTAGGCTTGTGGGTTAATAAACTGTTAGTGGGTGACTAAGTGATGTGTTTGGCTTCCGTTTTTAATCGGAATACTATTTACGCTAGCCTGCGAGCAGGCCCTAGTGTTTGAGTTTCGCACCCAACCACTACTATCTGACTTTTCGCTTTGGCACCCGAGCGAGTTTACGAACGACGCACGTTACGGAGCGAACGACGTGGGAAAACTTTGAAACTCGCGTGTCTCTCTCGCTCCTTCGCCGCTCGCGTCCTCAGCCAAAACACGACAAATTGCTCCCAGGCTACATTTACGTCCGCAACAAAGTCCTTACTCCGTCAAAAATGGAATGAAATCATACTTAGTGTAGATCACTAATTGCACTCTCGTTTGTACGATTACTTATACTACTAACATCATCTCCTTTTAATGATGTCACAACGGGGCTTAGTTTAATTCTGACTTCACCGTTTCCTGTTCGTTCTACAATCTGAGAGAAGTTACTGCTCTTCATTTATTCTATTCTTTGTTACTATCTCATGAAGAATGTTTATTATATGGCTGGCTCACTGAGCTTGCAAGACGAACCAACTCCTCCGCTGCGATCTTGTCCGCTCGGGATTGCGTGTGGTGTCACGCAAGAAAAAATCAGTCCTCCGACGAAGCTTATCCCGTTTAATAAATACTTTATTGACCAAGCTTGTTCTGTCACGATGGCTGGATATTGGCCTCAATACATGTTTTTGTGTGTTTATGGACCTCGACTCCATCTCCCTCCATAAACACGCATAAAAAGAACTTATCTTATCTATCTACATCCAGCCATCTTGACCTTAATCTCGAATAGTAGCCCATATATACCTAGAAAAGTCATTTTACAGGAAAAATTAATTGATCGATGAAACCAAAGACGTTTGTTGGCCGCATTAACGAAGCGGTGGGCGTGTTCAAAGGGTTTCAGAAAGGATTGATTGAGCTCCCATTAGGGCCAAAAGTAGCCAAGGTGATCGCTGGGGGATTGGATGGACGGGGGGGGGGGGGTCCTTTCTACTTTGAAGCACTATAAATCTCCCTCGGGCTACAGCAAAAGCAAAATAAACTAATAGTGATGTATTCGGCCTGTGTATCGTTGTGTTGACGTCGGTAAAGCGGCATTACTACACATGGTTCGGGCTAGACACTATTTCATTTTTAACTCGTAGCACTCCTCAAAAGCTTCAAATTGTTATTTTTGGTATTCAGAAAAGATATTCGATTTCAATGCCAAACCCAGGCCTTTTCGCAACTTCAACAGTGAGTTCTGCGTGAACTTATCTCCTCACCATACTGCTGACAATTACTCTAAAAACCGTGTTAAAAAGGGTTGCTATTTGTTTAGCTCTAAACATGAGCGAAATACTCGAAGCGCTTAAAGCCTTTGAGGAAGGTCAACATGAATATTCTCATTATGCTGTAGCGGCTTTATACCAAGCCATATACAGTGGACCCTCCGGTACGCGACCACCCAGAATGTTAAGCCTAGGTGGTCGCTTACGTGGGGTGGTCGCTTACGAGCGCTTAGACCATATCGGGCTAAGATTTTGCCTCATTGGCATATGGTAACTGCAGAGACTCAACCCATGTTTTTAGTGTTTTATTCATGTGAAAAGTCAATTTCAAGAGAAAAATCCGTTACTTCCCATTGAGAAATTTCCGTCTCTTGTACTTCCCAGGTGGTCCGTTCTTTAAAGGACCCGGAAAGCCGTAGCAAAATCTCAAACCTTGTGATTACAGCGCTGTGTTGTTGACATATTCTTAATATGACCACAAGTTCTCTTCATAGACTACGTTTCACGCGTATAAACGTCTCTGTTCTTGGATACAGATTAACTAAAAATGGCTTTACAGGCCCCACAAGTTTCCGGGGCTTTCGAGAAACAGTCGCTTGCGAATGCAATGTTCCAATACCTTATTATCCAATTTACGCCATATAATCTGTCAAGTGGTCGCTAATGGGAGCTTAAAAACCAAGGAAAATTTCAAACTTTTAGCTCTTAATGTAGTCGCGGTCGTTTAGGAGAGGTGGTCGCTTACAAGAAGTTCCAAATATAGTGATATGACTTGAAACTTTTCGTATTTTTGAAAACTGTTAGCTGAGGAGAGGTGGGCGGAACCGAAGGTTCGACTGTATTCCAAGTAATAATCCTCTCTTTCTTCCCACTCCTGTAAGTCTCCCACGCTCTCATAGGAAAACTTATTCTGAAGACAGCATAGTTTATGAACCCCATCTTATTATACCGCTGAGCTGCAAGAACCGTCCAGAGAAGACAAATCCTACGCTGTGATTCGCTGATATTCCACTTTTTTGCGTATTTATGTACCTCTACTCCGTCTCCGTCCATGTATATGTAACAACTGAAAAAAAGGATCTTGGGAAGATCCAGCCATCTTCACTCCAACATACCTCGCTACGGCAGAGTCTATGTCATTGTCTCTCGCCACACGACTTCCAAGCCTTGTCTTACAAAATTTGAATTCTAGATGTGAAATCCAATCGACCGAACCTTTTGCGGACGCCTAAATCTTCTCCAATAGGAGCTGCTTCTGTGCGTCTTTTAACAACGCTCCGGCACATAGCCTACAAGACTGTAGATGTACCTTTTAAGCTTACATGCACTGCGTGTAGTTTTCGTTGTCTTGCGGCTACTTTGCAATAAACAGTACCAAGTCATCAAATTGCTTGTTTTATTGGATTTATTTCATCTACTTAGATTTTCTTATACAACTATATCATGATCCAAAAATTTGGCTATGGTACAGTTTTAAGACCAAAAACAGGGAGCTGTACACTGTCAAGTCTAACTCAATTTTCCTTTCCGTTATTTTCCCGTAGAGTTGACAAGGGACAACCCACGTTTTAACTCAAAATTTAAATATTAAATGCATATGAGCACAAAATACTCCTGTGTGGCAACTTTACACGATAAAGTTTGATCCACTGTAGTCAGTTCTAAGAAACCTTACTTACGCAGAAGAAAAAATATGGTAAACAAGTATTTTTAAAACCTATTAGGGCCGGGCCAAACGTCGAACTTCACACGAGAAGAACTAAACTGAGCGAATTAAGCTCATGATAAGTTCGACGCTTGACTCAACCGAATACGTCCTACTGAATTTAGATGGACCAACAGAATGTGTTGGTCGATCTAAATTCGAATTAAGTTCGACGTTTCACCTGGGCCTTACTTTAACAGGGTTTTACACATGTCTATCCGACAAGAAATTTGGTTCATTCCAAAACTGTAATTCGCTTTAAATTAAATTTTCAACATTGATGTACCAAACATTGTCCTCTTACATGTATGTATTGCAATTTCGTATTTTCATTTAAGTGCACGGCAATATAGAAAAAGAAACTTCTTAATATTATTATTTCACCAAATAAAACTTTGCATCTGAATGTACAAAAATCTATATTTACATTAACCCAGTATGTGTTAAAAAACCCTTGCATTTTGATGGAAATTCAAAACAAAATAGATACTTTTTCTAGGGGGAAAGTCAGCAATAGGTGATGATAAACGCCCATCATTTCTTTTCATAGATAGCTATCAAGCTTGTTTGTTGATATTAAGATACCGTTTCCATGTCAACCACTTGAAAACAGTCTATAACAGATTTTCGGCAATATTTGAAGAATAACTCTTCTGCGCTCATCAGGATGATGTTCAAGTCCATTTGCATGGACAAACTGCAAGAAGAGAAAAATGACACCCTTAAGTAAGAACCAAGGAGAGTGAACAGAGGAGAATACACAGAAGTACCTTGTTACCAAGAACCATGTACAATACTTTTTATTATGATTGTGAGCACATTAATAAGTTTTACGTTTTACATTGTTACCTTAGAGCAATTTTAGCATATGTGTACTAGCCTTTGAGCAGGCTCCCGTTTGGGGATTTGAGCTCGAGCGGCGAAGCATCAGACACCTTCCCGCTGGATCGCTTCGCGTTTGAATTCGCTCTTCGCTGATCCCAAATGCGAGCCTGCTGGCAGGCTATATGTGTACAAATTTATATCGCTTATACATTTAATTAATTAATTTTATCATTATTATTTTTATTTTAGTATTTGAGTGTCTACAATTAGTTATTTAAGTTAAATACTCAGACACTTAATTAAAGTTCATTCATTCTTGTACCGTAAATCGTTTGTCTAAACTTCACCCGTCCTCCCTTCTCAAGTATGCTCCCACTCCTATAGCCTAAGATCGATATATTAAAATTTAAACATGACCAAGGGATTTCTTCCCGAAATTGCAAATTTCCTCAAATTTCTGTCTGGTAATTCCCATAGGAAAAACCAAATGAAGACGTTTGAAAGAACATCTCGGTGCCATGTTAGAATTTCAATAATATATCAGACGTGGGCTATTAGCCCCTCACTTTAGGAACAAGAGATTTATCACTTGCAAGCTTCCAGTTGAGTTCACAAGATCTCGACCTTTTCCAGCTATCAACCGATGAAAACTTCAAGTTCGTAGTCGAGCTGCCAAAGATAACCAACTAATATAGTCGCTTGAATTGATTGATGGAGGATTTTACTGCTGGACCTTTGCTGTCAGTTAAGGTACTATTCTCACCTGTGGATAGCATTGTACACCGATGAAACCTCCAAACAATTCAATAATTTCTTTCTGTATTCCTTTAAAACAGCCAGGCACACAAACACCTCGAATGAATAGTTCGTGTTCATATCCACAACTTGAACATGAAATTCGCCTCCTGTAATTAAACAAAAAAAAGGGTTTAAATCGATAAATACGAGTGGAAAAGAAGTAGCTCACTTAAGACACATTTGGAAATTCTCATAAAGGGTCCCAGTACTATCTCTGATAGAATTTTTTGGGGAGTTAAGGTTTCTTTACGTACGTAACAACAATTAGAAACACTTCACGAGGATAACTATTAACGAGGTCAGGAGTGATTTATCCTTAATACCTGGCTACGACATCGCATAACCGCATTTTGCTGGTTTTGCTTCGTAAGAGAAACAGAAAGTACTTTACGAATTCGAAAGTTTAATTTTGATATGCTCCAAATCTTTCTCTCATGTTTGTATAAGGTCGCGCGTTAAGAATCTCTCATTTACCAAGTACTTACGCGCACTGTATAATCTTAACATACATGTACAGTGTAGGCTACACTCAGCAACTCCTATCACAAATACTGTGAGCTCGGTCATACCAGCTTGCAAGGTACATGTACTTATTTCAATCCTAATATTGGTAGTCTCAGAAAATACATGTACATGTAGTTGCGGCACTAGACGAGATACTGTATCTATAAATTCCTTCACTATAATCACCTCTATGCATAACTTGATGACATTGACGAGGAATTACTGCATGCCAAGAAGTCTCGGCTCGAGGCTTCTCAGACGGGATTAAAAAGACAAAATTCAGAGCTTCCCTGTCATCTATTCTCTTACCATCTCTTTCCAATTCTCTAGCCCTCTGCCGCTCTCGCTCTCTTTCGGCCTCCATCGAGGACAATTCGAGGTGTTGGCTACTGATAATTTCAAACATTGTCAACGCGTCTGCAAATGAAAACTCTCTCTTGAAAGTTAATACAAGCCACCTACCAAACAAAAACACAACAATAACAAACAAAACGATCAGTCAGAGGAACAAGAACTCTTACACCATTTTTAAACAGATCCTGAGGAAAAATTCTCCACCAGTTACATGTACAATTACTATACAGTAGAAAAACTCAACGTGGGCGGGGCCACCTCTGTACAACGACCAGGATTTTCGTCCAAAACGCCCCTGACAAAACTCCTCTAGGAACGAGCGATGAAAATACAGCCAGAATTTATTCTTATTTTTTGTACAGTTACCAGTTAATTTTGTCCCGAACCGGAGGCAATAAGACAGATTCAACTGTACATTCCATGGTTTCTCCCAAAAGAAAACGTTTTCCTCTTGAAGCTTGCTTTCCTGTTCGGGCTTCTGCGGAGATTATTTCTTTTACATCAACAAACAGTTTTGTTCCTCCTGAGAAGTTTACTTTGCAGTCGAAGTGATGTGATTTCTCCATTTGCCCACTTTATGTAACCTTCCTACATGTATTATCCAGGCAGCTGACTTTAATACTGAAAGACTTACCTGTGAATAAACAGCATATCTCCCATCCCATGAGCTTCAAAATGATTGTACAGCTGTTCATCCATTTTCTTAAGCAACAACCTGACATGTTCTGAGGGCAAAACAAAAACGAATTTACTAAATAATAATAATTATTTTGTTAAAATCCGCATGCCTTTTGGAAACTGTGATGGACAAAAGAGCAAATTCGCACGGCAGACTTAAGACAGCTGCAGAGAGATCATCAGTATTGCTGGTGTAGCTGACAAGTGCAATCAGAACGAGATCATTTACATGTAAGATCTACAGATACGTGTAGTGAGTAATTGAGAATTCTCATTTGGGCAATTATCACAAGTTCATGAGATACAAAAAAAAAGCCTACAAAAAATAGAGTGCTTTGAGGGGATTGAAAAATTTCCATAAAAATTTCCATAAAAAATTGCAGAATTAGCCATTACAGCCTGTTGCAGGTATATATTGTAGGGGTTAAAAGTTACTACAGCACTCCACATCAAATTCAGTGTCAACTGATTGGTCATTTACACAAAAAGTGTTTAAAAACTACTACATGTACAGGTGCATGATGTATCTACAGCAGTAAGAATTTATTGTAATATAATATACCAAAAACAGAGACTGCGCATGTTGAACTAAGTCACTTACTAATTTTGGTGAGCATTCCATCATCTAAAAAGTCACTCTTGACAGTTTCCATGTAATTAGCAAAACACCAATAAGCTTGGCTTTCACACCCAAGCACAATTAAAAATCTACTCAAGAGATCATTCATTCCTTGAACGTATCCTACATCTGGGAAAAAAAAAAAAAGAGTTAGTCCCTGTTTAATTGTCATTCATAAAATGTCCACAGAATGCTGTGTACACTTTTTAAAGCCACTAAATTACCAGGCATGCCTTACATGTATTTAACAAATAGATTCCATGTTGCAGTGCATCTGTTCAGTATCAAAATGACATAAGAACAAAACTGTGGCACACAAGGCGACAGCTGAGTGTATCACTGATGTTCTTACCACATCTTTTAAACTTTTTATGTGCTTCATTTAGCTAATTTCCCCTTGTAAAATCTAATCATTGCATTTTCTTCATCATTTGCATGCAACCTTCAGTAATTCCATTGTGCTGAATAGTGTTAGCATGAGCATGATAAAACTGTATTTGGCCACCTTAAAGAATACCTTTTTGGAAGATCAGTAATTAATGTGACTTGCACAATACCTTGATGATAAGCACTGTATGTGATTAATATATCCCGCAAAACAAGAAGATTTTGATTTCCCTTTCCCCTAAAAGGAGAATAAGACATACAAACATGTAACCATATCTTTGTTGTACAAATTGTATACATGTACCTAGGAAATTTGTTACACCACCCTTTTGTCAAATGCCCTTCCCCCTAAAAAATGAAGTTCTCTATCGGACAACCTTAAGAATACCTTAAAGGACTGTGCATCACCTAGCTAAGGTGACTAAATTCACAATCTCCCCAGGGAGATTAAGATGATCAAGATCAGCCTCTTGGGACCCCAGTGACCGAATGTGACGTGGTTTGATGTAATATATATTTAACATGACTGATCCATGTTTGACCACATTCCCAAACACCATGAAGAGAGTTGAAAATAAGACATGAGTATTTTTGATTAATTTTGAGGTGTTTGAAAATTAGGTCAACCACGGTCATGAGTTTAAAAGAATTCTCAGTGTAGGTAGGATTCAGGGACATTTCAAACTTTTCAAAAATTTACCGCTGCTCTGATGATAAAACATGGGTTTCACTGGGCCGTTTTTAAATAATTAAGACGATTTCTGCAGAACTTTAGAGCAATAATGGCAAAAGTAAAGTTACCAAAAAAAACTCATTGCATGGTAATTTTTTGAATAAAGGTACAAAGAACTTATTGAGACTTAAGCTCTCAAGCTGACCCCATGAGAGAAATCGAACTTGAAGTTATTCATATTTCAGTTAAAACGGATGTTTCGTGTTAGTTGAAAAGACAATATTTAACACACACATTAAGCATTCTTACAAGGTTTGACATTAACTTTTTCGAGAATGCTTCAGAATTTAATTGTGGGGTCACTTAGTGAAATTAATTGAAGTGAGATGTTTTAACTAGACTAGTATTCAAAACGTTACTGTGCTGTGAGTAGATTTCTAGTAAATAATTTTTGCACTTATTGCTCGAACTTTGAGCGGAAACCGTCTTAAGCACTTAAAGCTGAAATTTACAGGTGTTTTTATTAACAGGTTGTATCAGTGCTACAGTAGTTGATATATTATGTCATGAATAACTGACCACAAATTGTTCACGGATGATTGGGCATTTATGCGATACTAATATTGTCAGTAACATTACTGGGTAGAGTGTGGTAGTATTGACCTGTCAAAGTGTAACTGCTGGAGAATGCTGGAAACTGTTACCAGCCACCCAAAGCAGCTGCCAGTGGGAGGAAGGTTTTGGGTTGACCCAAGAAATGGCTGTGAAGAGACTACAGTCACTTGCTTTGATCAAAGACTTTTAAATAATAACTGCAGTACATGAAAACTGCATTAGACCTACTGAAAGTAAACGTGACCTCTGTCTGTTCTTGGTACATCTTTATCTATTACTCGGATTGATGAATGCAATTTCTTAATGTCCACAGGTTGTCTTTCTGCATGAAGCTAAACAAACATAAACAAACATGTACACATGAACATGGAAATCAACATGTATACATATATGCAAAGTAAACATGTGGTTGGTTGTAGACTGAAATAGCCTTCCTATGCAGACGATCTTTTGGCTCATCGCACAATCTTTGCATGATGAGCCCAAAGAGTGTCTTCGTAGGAGGCTACAGGTAGTTGTATAATGAATAAATTGATTCAGTTAGTAATAAGAATTATATTGTTTCTCAATAACACCTCCTTCTGAACAGGAATTCTGGTAACATAAGCTTTGAGTGGCCATTGATTTGTGGTTGATTGTATATAATTTGTGCATTTCAAATAGGTCTCTTATGCAAACAAACCTTTGCTGTTATATTAAGAAACACCAGCTGCTCATCACCCATGTGTGATGATACATCCACCTCTTCTACTGCTGCACCACACAGCCTGTTCTCTACACTTGCTGTTGGATCATTATTGATGTGGAAATTCTGACACTCTCTCAGATATAAGGGTACTGATTCAGGCACATCTGGTTCAGGAGGAGGCTGGTATGTTCTCATAAGTTCTTTCCACTTCATTTTCAAGGCCTGATATCGAGCAATGTTTTCAGCAGCTAAAGCTTCTCTTTCCCTGCAGACATCAAGAGAAAAAAATGTGCTGTCTGTAACATTCACAGTTCAACAGTTCTCAGGGGAGCAAGTCTTTGAAATTCGGTAAAATAATCAATGGCATTAATTGACAAAATCCTGAAGAGATTACGAATTAATAATCATTCCACAAGATGTTCTCCACTGAAAAGGTCCTGACCAATCTCTCTATATGTTACCATCTTATATTTGTCACCCAAACTGTCCTCTAGTTGTACACATGGAACTTGTCTGTGGTGGACAGTCTCGATATGCACATGCACAACACAAACAGGCATGCACATGTAGCCAGTTGTGAAGCTCGGAAAGTGTTAAGAGGATGAAAGGATGGCAGTCAGCCTCTCCATGCTGACAACTGCTTCACAGGCACATACATGTAATTTAAAAAGTACAGAGAAGGTAACTTGAATTGCCTATAGACTTATGCACAATGAAAATTGCACATCAGCAATTTCCACTTTACCTCCTGGTTGATGAGAATGGATACAATCCAAAGATAAAGCTCCAAACCTCCCTTCTTATCTTGCAATCAATGCCACCTAATTTATGTATAAAAAAATAATACTTAATTCAGGGAGAATAAAAAACTCTAACAAAATGCTCAATGACTTACCTAATAATAATAATAATAATAATAATAATAATAATAATAATAATAATAATAATAATTGATATTTAAACAGGGTGACCCCTTCAGTCGCAGGACTGGTATCAACAGGGGCCCTGTATAACGTAAAATAAAAAGAGCATGTATAAATAGTATATATCTATAAAAAACTAACTACTTTAAAAGATATGCTGAAATGTTTAAAAAATTAAAAAGCTTAAAAATGTAATAGCGTTCTCATAAAAATTGGATATCGAATTGAAAATGTTCTAAAAAATAACCTAAGAAAAAAAATCGGAGATAGCCTTGAAACATTCCTTAGGTAATTACCTAATGTGCTAATGTGTTCCATTTATCATGTGAAGATTCTTTTATTAAGACTGTTTGTCATAGGCACCAACTACATGTGGATTAACTAGGAGAGATTCTTATTGTAGGTACATGTAATTCCATAGATGAATTCCAAAGATGAATAAATTACTAAATCAATCAATCATTTGCCAATCAGCCAATTAATCAATCAATCAATCAATCAATCAATCAATCGATCGATCGATCAATTAATCAGTCAATTAATTAATTACCGGTAATATAAAAATTAAATATTAATAAATAAAGCAACAAACAAACTATTTGGTATCTTCCTTTGTTTCATGTACTGCACCAGTACATTAGAATGTATCAGGTGTTTACCAGAACAAAGGAAATACCAAATTATATCGAGGGTAAAATATTGAACCACAACACTTGCATACATGTATATATACAGTCATCTAATTTTAAGACTCTGGTTTGTGATCTGGCGGCCTTGGATCAGGCTTTAAACTCATATTTAGAAATATACAAAATAAAAATACAATAAAGATGTTCTAAAGATACTTTGTATTAACTGGTGATAAATGTTATATACACGTACACACATGGACTAGTTATTTGACAGAAATTACCTTTGAACACTGCTTTCCTAAGAGCTGACTCATTCACCACTCTACCATCTTTATCAAAAAATTTCTCCCAAGCATCACAATGTAGAGCTCGTGTACGTTCACTGATTTGAACAGGGCTTTCTCCATTGAATAAAGAGCTGTCTAATTCTGCAGTGGTCCTATGCCCATCAGCTTGCGTTATTCTGATTTCAGAAGGCTCTTCATAGTTTTCACACATTGCAACACAGTACCAACCATACAATAAGCACTAGATCTTACAAAAAAAAAAAAAAGATTACAACCGAACAGTTTTAAAACAACATGAAATAAATTTCCATCACTCAAAATGGATTACTTATTTCAATAATAACTGAATGTTTTTTTCTGAAGGAAAATTAATTTCTGAAATGAAAATTTACGGATATTGTACCCGGATATTGCACCATAGTGCACCTTCTCCATGATCAATCGAAATGGCAGATACAAAAATTGGTATTAGATGGCTTGGAAACGATGAAGCCATACAGAACAATATACTGATAGAGAAACCACATATGTATTTCTGGAATTTCAGTCCTGCATACAGTAATGTGTACTGTACCAAGCGTCCAGCTACAACCCCAGATCCCCGACGAAATACATGTAAATTGAATACGTACAATGTAATCACTGTCAAATCGAAAGTGTCGCATTAGATCAGAGTAAATATGCATGCATGTAAATTCTCCGTTACACAGTAAATTTAAGTTAGATCACCAAGTAAAATCAAAACGGTGACAAATCCTAACCTCAGTAAGCATATAGATTAGCTTCACAAAACTGTAAAGCAAGCTTAAGTTTAAGTTTTATGATATAAGCTTATTGAAAATGTTTATTAAAGCGAGGCCTGCTTGCCTCCATGTTCATGTACGCCTAGCAAAATACTACTCGGTGTCTTTGGTAAAATACTTCGTGAAAATATGGTAACATTAACAAAAGCAACTCACCACAGCTCAGGCCATAGTTTCTGTAACTTTTGGCTCGAAAACAGAGCAGAGTTTCGTAAAGGAATGAACACTAAATTCCTGAAAGTTTCAGAGTTTAAACACTTCCTCACTTCCTGTGCCTAATACACGGCTCAGAAGGTATGGTTACTAAGGCTAAACATGGCGATCATTCGATAGAAAGCGTTTCCCGAAACTTGAAACTTGGTGCCTCACAGAGAATACCATCATTTATTTTGTGAAGAACTGGATTTTAAAATATGAACTCAATAACCAAAGCTGTGGTTACAAACAAGTTTTCGTCTGTCGGTAAGAGCTTGGGACTGGATGACAAAGATGATACGCAGGAAGTAGAAGGCGCTTCGGCGAAAGAGCTCCGAAAAATCGAGGAGGAGAACGCAGCAGCAAGAGCTAAGCGACAAAAGGAACATGACAAACGAAACGCTGAGAGAGAGAAGAAGCGTGACGAAATAAGGGCTAAGTACGGGCTAAAAGAGGGTCAAAACAAGAACCTTCGAACTGGCAATAGAGGAAAGACGATTGAACGAAGTGATAGTGACAACGACACGAATGTTAAAGGTGAAGGCGAGGATAAACAATGCCATGTAATGTAAAATCCAACAATTCGAACAGAAATAGAGTTAAAATGTTCATAAAAATCCATACCATAGTGTATGTGAAATGAAACGTTCTTGGAACCACTGGAAGTGAAATAATGTAAAACTTGAATATCCTTTTGTACATGTATTAGTACACGTGTAAAGAAAGTTAAAGTAGTATGATATTTTGCCGTAAAATAGAAAGCTTTATTCAGTTATTTCGTTTGCTTCATCCCCAGTTATGAGGTCCTGGCATGGAATTTTGAATACAATACATCAGTCTAAGAGTGAGGCTAGATTAAATATTTAGAGAAGACACTATTTTTCATTGACCTTCAATTTAGACATTTATATGAGATTCTTTGTTCACAATATTTGCCTCATTAGCATAAGTGATTTACTTTGTGATAAAACTACAAAAGTATCAGCTCTCTATATTGAAAGGTCATGGCATGTTTAATTGTGCACCAAGGAACATGAGTGTGATGAAATAATCACTTCTGGTTTGAGTTAGGCTTAAAACACTGAAAATTTTCCAAAAAATGTATGGATCTTAGTATCAGTATTTTATAGTGTTCAAAGCCAATATCCCTTCAATATCATATTCAAAGATCCAAAACTTGAATCAATTGCTACGTGTAATAATCTCTTAAAATGGCTGGAGTCAACTTTATCTGGCATAAAGCCTTGTCTTGAAGAGTTGATGTTTATGAGGCAAAATATGAACAGTGATGTGACAGCAATGATTGCCCATAAACTGCAGTATGTCACAATGGTCTGGCTGTAGAATGCTGATATCCTGTGCCATTAAGATAACTTCACATGTAGCTGAGGTTTTTTGAAATGATGCATTATTATAGTGAATGTTTATACTGGAAGAGCTGGAAACAAAATGTGTACTGACTTATTTTGAAACTCAGTAACAAGCTGAGTCAGGTGCTGACAGTATAATTTTAAGGGGCACAATCCTGAGCATGACTTTTAAAAGTCAAAACCCAAAGACATATTTTCAGTGATGGAAAGCTAGATATAATGGTGCAGTTTTGTAAAAATCGAAAAAGAAAAAGAAATCACCATTTAAGTGCGCTAAAGCTATAAAAAGGGTGAAGTAATGGTTATATAAGTCCCGTGTTTCATTTCTCTAACATTTTTCACGCTGATGTGACAAATTTAATGCCTGTTGTTTTCGGATTGATAAAACTGTTGTTTGTGTGACTGAGAAAAGGTCAGCTATGATTTTCGGAAAGGCAATGAGACCCAATGTTTTCGAGAAGTGGACAAATAAGACCTAATAGATTCAGGAGAAGACCCAAGTTCCCCTAGAATGACCGAACAGAAAAAAAAAAATTATAGCGCAGCCTGAAATTAACCTACAGAGCATATTGTATCAAGCACTCCAGATAACCTAACCATTTGAGAAAAAAACGTCGTTGGGCCGGTGCCCCTGTAAATCCATTTTTTGCGAGTGCGCTCAGAAACAGTTGATTAGAATGGTTTAGTTTAGTCCAGTGTACTTCCCTGACGTATAGGGTGTGAAATAAGATGAATCACTATAATATTATGAAGCTTGCGGTTGGAAAAGAAGTAGTTAGATGTTTGACGCAACAACAACAACAGCAACAGCAACAGCAACAGCAGCAACAACAACAACAACATTTTCTTTTTCCCTCTCTTTTTTGATCACCCAGCAAACAAGAAAGGAAAGGAAAGGATAAAAATTTTCCATTTTCTTGTGCTTGCGCTTATGCTTGCGTTTGCGCTGTAACAAGTGAAAATGAGATACCCAGTCAGGCATCACAAGCACAAGGATATTTACCACACCTGGTTGTGTTTGGCCAATGAAAAGACTGGACTCAGATTACCTCGCGCCTATATAAACAGTTTGGAAGGTTCGGATGATTTTGCTTGTGCTTGTGTTCGCGTCAAATTTCCTTTTCACTTAGGTCATCCCTATTGCTTGCATTTGTGCTTGCGCTTGCGTCGCTAGCGAGAACCAGGCTTGATTTCTCGCTTCATTGGCACGTGAATAGCCTGCGAGCAGGCTCACGTTGGAGCACAAGCGCGCACGGCGTAGCCGCGAGCGCGAAATCGAGCGGTGAAGCCGCGAGACGAGAACTTTCTTGGGCCTCTTCACCAGACTCCTTCCCTCTTCGCCACTCGCGCGTGTGACTCAAAGGTGAGCCTGCCCGCAGGCTAGCACGTGAACAGATCCGTGCACATCAAAGTGAGATTTCCTTCATACGCAACTTGATACGGAAACAAATGGTCTTTTATTTCCCTAAACGAGAACGGCTTCAAATTTTAATGGTATAATGGTTGAATACAATACGTCACGTTTTACTTTGGGATATTTTTATTTGAATTCTTTGGAAAATGCTATGTATTTGGGCACACAGCAAGTTTCATAATCTCAACTCTTTCAATTAAAATATTCCCAGTTAAGATCAGTCTTTTTATTTGAACAGCTCCCATATTTTGACTTAAGCAATGACTTTTTTCACAAATCATAGTTCCTCTTTCTGAGTTTTTTCGGGTTCCCACTAAAAAACCTCGTGGGTCGTAAAGTTGCTATAACGGCCGTTCCTATTGAGCAAAAGAGCTTGTTGAGCCTCGTATGCTATCGTTTTTTTGTTGTTATATCAAGGAGGAAAAAGTTTAAAATAATTTTTTACCTCTCCGTATTTTTCGATAGAATCACATTAATTATACAATCGAGCCTCTAGTTGTGACCACCTCTCCTCAGCGACCAGTTTTCCAAAATACCAAAAGTTTCCAAGTCAAATCACTATATTTGGAACCTCTTGTAAGCGACCACCTCTCATAAGCGATCTCGACCACTTTTAGAGCTAAAAGTTTGAAATTTTCTTTTAATTTTAACCTTCCGTAAGTGACCAATTGCCATTAAAGATTCAAGTTAGAACTATCATGAGATTTTTCCGTTCGCTTTATATTAGTAGGTATAGTTTATCAGAAGCGAACCATGATACTCTGAATAAATACCTTTGGAAAGCTTAAATATTTTTGTGGTTTCTAAAAGTTGCCACATGAGTTTAGTTGGGCATTGGCGCATGGGGCAAGGTCGGTAAGTCTCTACAGTTTTAACATGCTACTGAAAATAATATATGGTCTCAATATGGTCTAAGCTCTCGTAAGCGACCACCTCCGGTAAGCGACCACCTAGGTTTAACATTTTGGGTGGTCGCTTACGGGAGGTTCGACTGTATTAATAAATGTAGATAGCAAGCTCTCTCTGGCCAGGCACGCCCTTGTAAGTCAGAGCTGAGAAGTCATTAACTTAGTGAAAAAAAATTAAAATTGGAAAGAAAAAATGGATAGCACACAAATGGCCGTGTTACCTTTCGTAGCATTATTTTTGCCTACGAGGAAATCGATGTCGTTTTGCATGTGAGCGAGTTGTTTCTTCACTTCTTGCAGCATACTTTCAGTCTTCTTGATCGGGGCTTCGTAGAAGTACACGTTGTTGCATTTTTTCCGTTCACGAGACCGGAGCTCCCACTAGTACTCAAACCAAAGTTGGCTTTATAGCTAAAGTTTGACGAGTCACAAACAACGCCAAGTAGAGGAAACTTCCGAGAAAACCCAACTAGACACAACTCATTGAGTAACTTTGAAGTCGACCAAATCAATCGTGGCAATTGAGTCGCGGACAGGAATTGAACTCTTCCGGCCTTAGTTTTATGTCTTCATACAATGGCTCATACAACAGATCGAATAACCGACACCTTGTCTAAAGAAAATCTAATTGATCACTCGTTAACTCTAAATTACGTTGCTGATCATGTTTGCTCAGAAGGCACTTTCCGTGACAATTTCCACAATTGTCTCGTTTTCAAGTTGTTACATATAACTTTTCAGCTTTTAGATATGCACAATATCGTGAGAGACCGATCATCCGAAACAACTGTCTCAGCATTTGCACTGCAGGCCCTATAGACGATAGATGAATGGGTTTGTTTAAACAACGTAGTTCCTCTCAGGAACACGCAAAATATTTTCTCAGAACAAAGTTAAAATTTCTAAAACTGATTAAGGCTTAATCTTAACTAACTACCACTGATTCAAATATGGAAATAAATAAAAACAAAACGTTCTGTTTTTCAGGGATGCCGTGTCTAGTTTCCAGAGTAGAGAATGTTTGCATACACGTTTTAACAATTGACTAATTAAGTAATTTACTAGATCTGAAAACAATTTTCAGAGACCGTGAATTCGAACTAACTCGGGTGTTATCATGACGTTTTAATTGGAGAGTTTTAGCAGTAATTAAGATGATCATGGGAGACTGACAATTTGCAAGAAATGCGCTAAAATTCTCAGAAGCTTATTTTACTTATTTTTTCTCAAAAATCTAAATAGCTTTTAGACATGAAAACAATCGTGAGAGTACTACAATCCAGAACACCTGCCTTAACATTCACATTCAGCACTTGTTTTTCACAGCTGATCATAGTGTGATGAACATTTTAGCACTTGGCAACTTTTAGATATATACACGTACAAAGACTACCGCATCCGTGAAAGACTGACAATCAAAAGCAAGAAAACTACTGAATAAAGATTATAATTGGATCTTTTTTCTCCCCGTCTGTTTTCACTTTTACGATTTTAACTTGTCAGCAATCGCACCAGTAGTGTGAGCCTGGTAAATGGAAAACGCGTGATGACAAAACAAAGGGACGCTATCGCGGGGATTTTGCTACATTTTTGTTGATAACAGGGCTAAGTAAAGCAACGACTAACCCAATGTTTTTAAAACATTAAGACAAAGATATAAGGCGAATCGTTAAAAAAAGGGTCTCTACGTAGAGACCGGACGTTTCAGTTTCAATTTGACATCCTAATCTAAATACATAAGCCCTTACCAATCCCCTTTTACAGTAGTCTCCTCCGCAGCCGTTTTTTGGGATGTCAGGGGAAGCGTTGCGTGACATCCCAAAAAACGGCTGCGGAGAAGACTACTTTTACAGCTTCAGCGCACTTTTATAATTATTTCTCGCTTCTGTTGTTTAGTCAAGACTAAACTATATGAAAAGAAGTTTTCTAAGTTTGAACTTCTCGAAGTCTTGCTCACTAGTCTCGATACGGATAAGTCTAGGTTTCGATCGTCGCCGTTTTTGAGGGGCACAATATAAAATTAATTTGGATAACCTGGTTGGACCGTCACGTTTACGTTCATCAAAAGGAATGGAAATATTAGCAAGTAATGAAAATCTAAATATAAATAACGTCTTTTCGTAATATTGGCTTAAGATTTAAAAACGCTTTTTACAAGGCTAAAAAGTTAAAAGTTTAAAATAAAAACAGAATGCATGTGTTTTTGACTAGTTATAAGTGATCTTCCGAGTTCAGGGTGACTGGCTGTCCGCTACGTGTTTAATTATTTTATGTTTCCTGCATGATGGGAACAATTTCGCTACGTAAGAATGAACTTGTTTGTTCAAACTGGGGCTCAATTTTTGGATTATCAGTCCTTCAATGATGCTGCTCTTGTAAAAATATTGGGCCGTACAACAGCTTTCAACCAACTGAAAGAATCGGACGGGTTCACGTGAAAGTTACGGGAAGGTTCAGAGTTAGAGGGGTTTGAATGTTCATCAATTCGGGTCTTCTCACTGTCGAGGAAAGCCCCAATTAATTTCGACACTGCTTTTATTTATGATGACAAGTCCACTTACAGAGTCTACAAAAAATAAATTAGAAATAAAAAATGGAAAAGAACCCACTGGCTCTCTTCGCAGAGCTGTGGATCTCTTCCAATTTTGATAGTGACGAACGGCCTCTTCGAGGCTTTCTAAATGCGGGATACCCCAAGCGTTCTATTTGTCACACAGTGAACAGTTTTCTGGAAGATTCACCCGAAGATGACAATATTTTGATCCCGAATTTCTTTTTTTAAGAGCATGGGAAGGTTTTCATCCGAACTTCCATACTGCAACAAAATGAAAGGTTTTGCAAAACGTTTACCTTAGTGTAGAACCTAGCTCTTGTTCTAGGTTCATTGGCGTTCCTTTGGGAATCTGTTCTGTGTGCTGTATACTTTTGTTTAATATTCTAGTTTTTAAATTTTCGAATGCACGCTGCAGTTTTTTACTTTTCACCGTTGGTCTCAACAAGAACACATCTAGAGTGTAGAAAACACTCAGAGCTGCCCTTTCGCGGCCGACAACGCCATTGAAGTTTGGAATTATTATGTTCATTGCGTTTCGCTTATAGTCGCTTTTCAGCAGTATATTTGTACCTTTTGTAAGTTAACATTTTTTTGTTGTTTCGCAGTTCAAACCTCTTCTCGTCTAGTCTCATCTTTACGTCAGTTTACCGTTTTATCAGGTGTGCCTATCTCGTTCATGAAACTTCATTTGTCGAGTGCCGTTGTTAAATTAAAGTTTGGAGTGTTTGAGATTCGTTGTTGTATGTAGCTCAAAAGGATTCGCCTTTGGCAGTACCACCAAGCTTCACGCAAGTTTCTTGTATCCCAATCTATTCATTCTGCTGCGAGAGACCATCAGGGTGCAAGATTTGCTCAAGTTAGGATTCAGTTGAAAAGATCTAATGGGAATTGTGATAATAATATCCTAGTCCATCAGTTCGAAGGAAACAAATGTTTTTTTCCAGTCAAGGCGGCGTGGCCGAGTGGTTTAGGGCGCTGGATTTGAAATCTGGAGGTCCCTGGTTCAAATCCTCCGCCCTACCGCTATCTGGATTTGGTCTCGGTAGTCCCGAGTTCAACTCCTCGACCGCGTTGTGTAAATAGCCAACTGGTCAGCCTCCAACCAGTTGGGATTCTTAATAGTTTATGCTATATTTGAAATATTTGTTTATTTATTGACAGTGTCCCCGATTAGCACATTAGTGCTAAATACATCGGCACTTAAATAAAGTGATTATTATTATTATTAAGTGATTATGACATGTTCTGAATATTTCATTGCTTTCTTTTCTCAAGTCTAAAGGGAAGGCGTTGAGTCACGGTTATGGTAGGGCCGGGTGAGAGTGGCCTAAGGGAGTCTAGTCACGGTTTAGCCGAATGTTTCACAGATCAATGACAACGCTTCCTTATTATTCTTGTTATTTTTTAATCACCGAGTCGCTAAAACATTTCTTAACCAAGCTCTAATGTGTTATCTTCAGCAAACAAAGTAGAAAAGTGGTACAGAATGTTCTAAAACTTCACTGGTTTGATCTTCATCTCAGCTCTCTTGGCGGAGTACTTATGTCCTTTCCAGTGATACCAGTTGACACCATCAGCATATGATGAGTGCGCGCCATGATGATAGACACCGTTCAGGTTGGAAGCATGACAGCTGGTGTACCACCAGGCTCCTTTGAAGCTCACAGCGCAGTTACTGCCCGAGCTGCTGTCATTATCCTGATCTTTGGTGGTAAAGGGGTAGCCACGATGACCAGAAAGCGAATCTCCCGCTGTCCCTGGAAACAAAATATGAGAATATGATCATATGATCAAAATGCCAAAAGATCATACAGATATGTCAGATTCTCATAGGCGATAATTTAAAACAGTTAAGCCGTTTGCTATTTTCAATACCCTCCGGCACAGAGCTTCCCTTTTCTCGCAGGATAGTTTTCAAGGAGAAAGATAAAGGAAAAGCGGGTTAAAATTAAATATTAGCATTCAAAAAACAAACAAACGGAGGTCAATTTGTACTAAAATGTAAAGTTATTTACCTGTGTAAGTACCGATGCTGAGCTGGTACTTAGTCCTCTCGCTCGTAACTGCAAACATGTCGTACTCGGCGTAAGCAGTTTTGCCTGTCGTGTCTTCCAGATCTACTCGAAGTCTGTTCTTTGTTCTCGTCAAACGGTTTATCTTGTCCAGTCCCAGCCAAAACTCGCCATTCAGATTACCGAAGCCATTCTTGTAGTCAGCCCAGCCACGGTAGAAATTAACGGAGCCGTCTATTCTCTTCTGGAACACTGTCCACCCACCACCGTCTGTTGCTTGGTCACAGAAAACATCAAAGGCACCTGAACCATCAGGGTCGATTGTATAAACACCGCTGATTCTTTGGCCGGATTTGTACAACTCAGCACAGTTCTTCGAAGCTGGTTAACAACAACAAGAAAATTACAGTTAAAACATCAACCTGGAACGTATAACGACGGTAAAAAAAAAAAAAAAAAAAAAAATTGGAGACAGTGCGCGACGCAATGAGTATCTGAAAAATTTGCTCGACTTGACTGTTGACTCGAATTTCGTGCCTGAGAACTGGTGCACATACCAAACGTTAAGTGAACTTAATAAAACAAAAATGGAGGAATCTTCGGGTCTGGAAATGTTAACAGCTAATTGAGACCGAACTCCGCGCTTTCTCGTTGGTCGTTCTGCTCCTCTGTATGTGAAAGGATTTATAAACCAAGAGAGAGCACACAAAAAAACGTATAATTTACCTTTCGTAGCGTTCTTTTTTTCTTTGATAATATCGATGTCCTTCTGCATGTGAGCGAGTTGTTTCGTCACTGCTTGCAACATATTTTCAATCTTCTCGTTGGGGGCTTCGTAGAAGTACACGTTGTTACATTTCTTTGTCTCCGCGAGACCGGACTGGTTCACACTAGTACCCATCTGACTCGTTGCTGGTTTGGCTAATGCTTGACTTGCGAACAACGTCAAGAGCAGAAATCTGCCGAGGAAACCCAACGAAACACAAGTCATGGCGCAAGTTTTAGAAATATTGTCACGGACAGGTAAACCCGTTTCTCGACAGTGACTTATCTGGTTTTATGGAGCAAGATGTTTACGTTACGCAGCCTGGGTTGACCTTAGCTCGGTACAAGATGCTTTTTCTTGTTCCCGATTCTTTGTGCAATCATGACAGTTGAAAAAGTGATTAAGGCTCTGAAAGCAGTTCTGTAAACAAAAGGACATTGAGCGTAACTTTTTTTAACCTTGTTTTTTATTGACACCGACATTTCATTCAGGGCGAACATATGATTTTAAGAAATGACACCCAGATTAATAGGCTTTTGGTTTCACCTTATGTATCGCTGTTCTATTCAACCAACAGTGTTTAGCCTAAATAAAATATTCTCTAGGGTGGAAGATTCAACCGATGAGAGTCTGTCGAAGACCTTGAAAATTTTACATCTTATTATGGCAACTACATTGTTGACTCAGAATAGGAAAGCCGCCTTTTTAGTGGCGCACTTCGGCAGTTACGGCACTGCATGCAGTATTTGGTACGAGTAAACTAGTATAGTATTAGAATCAGTTCTGTGGTAGCTAAAACATGATAAAATAATATACCCATGCAGTAGAAGCCGAAAATGTTTTGACGGCTTTAGATCTTTGAAGCTCAAGATCGCGATAAAGATTTTCAATTCATTGGAGTTTGAGTAATGTAAACAGCATCAAAGGTTTCAGTTATTCTTCTAAATATAGCAAAGTAATTTTCAGTAGCGAGAATATGGGTCAGTTCACCGAAACTTGTAATAGTGTTTATGTGTATTCAAACCACCACATTCATGGTCACCACTAAACATTTCCGGCCTTAAATTATCATTCTGTACCAAACTAGAAACTGTAAAGAGGCATAGTTTTCAAAAACTGTACACAACCAAGTGACAAGTCATCGAATCCCAAGTTATTAATCGGAAATCGAATGTCAGACATTTTAACTCTAAATTGAACTTGTATAGTCACTGATTACCTAATCTGTCCTAGTTTACTTTGTTTCAGGCGTATATTATGAAAGAACTAATGGAAGCTTTTCCAACTCGGTGCAATGATTCGAAGAACGCGCATGGCTCTACAAACATTTTGCAAATTGCTTAGAAAATACATGTGTAGCAATCAAAGCGACAATTATCAAATTGATTTGATTAGGCTGTGTTAGGTAGCTTTAGATTATAGAGTCTTTTTTGCCTTGCGTCTGTTGAGTGGTACAGATTATGCATCACAACACAGATTAGACTTTGGAAAGACTCCGTGTCTGTTAGTCCGTTCGGTTGGTCAGTCTCGTGAGCGCGAATGACTTGGTGAACTCAGTTTTCTTGTCAGTTATCTACTGACTTGATCTATTCACATCCATCAATCGCTAACATCTTATTAAAGCCTGGAAAATGAACTTACCTTTAGCTAGCCAGGACATCATTTTTACGCGTCACTGCCTGAGGCCCATGCTAAAAAAGCACTGGCCCAATGTACATCATTTGGGATGCAGACGCCATGTCAGTGGAAAAGTGATGTTAACATTTCTTTGTGGTTTTAATGCTAATGCAACGGAACATCAGCCTGGTGCAAAGAGTGCTGGATGTTTAATCAGAGAAAATTAATCCTTCATCGAACTCAGCGATGCTGAGAAATAGCCAATGCGAAGACTTTTCTTTCGAATTTTAATATAAACGGCTCGATCGAGGGCGGCATATAGTTTGTATATTTAATTAATTGTATTTGATTTATTTAGAGCCGATGACGACAACAACTCTTTGTGAAAAAAAAATTATATTCGTTTATTCACAGATCTTCTACTGACAAGCTTGGCTCCAAAAATAGAATAGGCAGCGAAAAAGAACAGTGCTAGTAAACAGCCATTTAACCACATATCACGTGTCAATTTGCTTCAAGCAGCACTTTCAGCCAGTTTTCCAATGTTAGGAAAATAATTAAGAGATAGACAAAATTTGATCTGGTGGTATGTATAGACTATAATATATAAAAGTTCTTCAAATATTTAAACGTTTATTATCATTTCCTTTCGCGTCCTTTTCTAGCTGTAAAGAGGCAAAAAGCTCCATGCATATCCTTTTATTTAACCACTGAACAGTGAAGATGTGGTTAGCTTGGGCTCTTCTTGATGTCTCCACATTTGCTTTCAGTTTATTCAGTCTAACGAATACCAAAAAGACTGCGCGTAAAACTTTGCTTGTCCATTGGTACAGAGCTGGTCTCTAAGGAGGACACAAGCATCATTTCAGCGGACTTTTTTTTAATTCCATGGGCTAAAATTGCCTCTCCCATTCTCATGTGCTATGGAAATGCTGTAACACGGGAGTTTTGCACATGTCTGACATGTGTGTTATTTGTCTCATAGTTTCCTCCTAGGCCCTGTCATCAGTTTCTCCCCTTTCTTTTTGTATGTCTGTATCTTTTGCCTTCAATTCATGTGCGGCGAATAAAACAAATTCATCCCAAACTCAAGATACTCAAAAGGTCTTCCTTTAACCTTTGAGCTCAATCTGTGGAAGCCTGTTTCATAGCAGGGAAACATGACAGTTGTATTCAAACGTGCACGACTATCCGGCGCATCTCATAGAGGTAGCCATGCAGGCTATTGTGAGACATAAATTGTCTGCTCTTTTGTGATGCATGATACATGTTACTAGTTTGTACCCTGATCTTCTCATTTTACCGCAGTAAGAGGAGGACATCTGGGAAAGCTAGAGGGTTATTATCCTGAATGAAAATAATCAGAAATATATCCATTTGTTGCAAGTTAAAAATTGCACTCAGGATCAGGAATCATTTACTTTAGTCCAATGCCCTTCCCTGACCTAAAGGAAGAGGACTAAGATAAATCACTGTAATGTTGCATCTCTCTATATATTTTTAACCTTTGATTATGAATTTGTTTGATTGAAATATTATACCATCAAATGTAACAGAGCGGCCGTTATTTATTCATCAGAACAGAAGTGCTGAAAATGCTGAAAACAGTTGTGAGCCACCTTAAGACCGAACGATTAAAACTTTAATTATTTGTCAATGGCTTTTTCAGTTATATACCGCTCGTGGTCTACACTCTGACTAAGTTTTATCTTGCATTTCAATCTTTTCATTCTGCTGCGAGAGAACAACAAGATGCAAGAGTAACTCAAACTAGGATTTAAATGAGAGGATCTTGAACTTATACAGTTTGGGGTACAAAATCTATTATTACAAGACTAAGTTAGTTCAGAGGGTCAATATCTAAAATCAGCCAATCAAATTACTCCATTGCTAGTCCAATATTCTCTAAATATTGGAAGGGCACTGTCCCGAATGATTCTGCACTATCATTCTTGAAGATTTTTTGGTAGTTTTTTTTTCCAGTCCGTGATCATGGCATCTTTCCTAAACGTTTTCAGTCGAATAACAAATCTATTATATCTATAACCAAGAGATTACCAAGGTAAGATAGTGAATCCCCATATAGGCCTTATACCAAAGGTAGTCCCTTAGACATGGTATCCAGCCCTTCCGAGGATGTTAATCGCGCGACGCGTGTACAACCCAAGCGACGTTCTCGCAACTAGCCTGGAAGAAATGGCGGGAAATGTGGCGAAAAGTCATTTTAAATGTTTTGATTTTCAAAAGATGTTTCATAGCGCAGATGTTTTCTGCACTCTCAGCCCTCTTTTTGTTTGGCTGGGCTTTCGTTTGCTTTGTGTTTATTTTGCTATTCATGCTTTTGCTGTTCATTTAATTTGCATTGGTTTTTGGGAGTTTAAATTAAGCAAACCACAACGGCAACGGCAACGAGCACCGTGGCTGTGTACGCCTGCGTCATAATTATTTATTCATTTCTTTGCCGTGCTTTACAAAGCAACAACATGAAAAGGCCACCGTCTGAGTATTCGAGAGAACGTGAACTGACTGATTGATAATCGACCCTCGGTCTTTTCGTACGGGCCTTGCTGCGCTGGGTCCGCATTGTCAAGATCTTGGGCCAATATTCTTTCGGTAGGTCCCTCAACCTTGGCTAATAAGATACTGTATGAACTCCACTACCGCGAAGGAAACTCCGGAAACTGATAGCTATATTTAAGTCTGTGCTCTTAGGAACAGTTGATTGTAATCTTTCTGAATAGTTAGGTTCTTTTCTCAAG